CTATTGCAGGTATGCATGCATGCATGCATGCATGCATGCATGCATGCATGCATGCATGCATGCATGCATGCATGCATGTATGGCAGGCAGGCAGGCATATATGCAGGAATACACTTATGCATGCATGCATGCATGCATGCAGACATAATTGCATGCATGCATGCATGCATGCATGCATGCATGTCTGTGTTATGTTGTTGCTCAGGTGTATATCAAGTAAAGGAAGTATGCCCTGGTTTGCTGCGTCTGCTGCTGCAGCTGCGCGTTAGTGCAGCAGCAGCGCGGTGTCTCTGCAGCATGAAGGTTTCTCTCCCTTTTAATCATAAAGGATTTATTACTAAAGATGATCTTAAGGTCTCACAGGTCAGCAGCAGCAGCAGCAGCAATAGCAGCAGCAACAGCAGCAGCAGCAGCAGCATAAGTAACAGTAGTTATAGCAGCAGGAGCAGCAGCAGAGGCAGCGGCAACAACAGCACTAGAGAAGGGACAGATTGAAGGCAGCAGGAAGGGACAATTGTATCAGACATACTAATTGGTGCTGCTGCTGCTGCTGCTGCTGCTGCTGCTGCTGCTGCTGCTGCTGCAGGGTACATTTTGTTTAGTGAATGGAGGGGAGGTGGTTCTTTGGACGATCCCAACACCCTTAGAGGGAAAGCCCGATACAACATTAGGTAATTTGCTGCTGCTGCTGCTGCTCCTCCTCCTCCTCCTCCTCCTCTTGCTGCTGCTGCTGCTGCAGAGTATTGTGGTGTTCTGCTGTTGCTGCTGCATGCAGGTGGTGAACCTGCATACTCTTTGTCTCTTTTAGGGGAGCTAACTGTCTCCTTAAGCAGCAGCACGACACCGCCTCAGGTGTCACTGCAGCAGCAGCAGCAGCAGCAGGAACCCCCGACAGCAGCAGCAGCAGCAGGCCTGTTTTGTAAGGCAGAAGAGAGACAGCTAGTTAAACAAGCAGCAGCAGCTGCTGCTGCTGATCTCCCTCTTGTTATGCAGCGCTATGTGCTGCAGCAAACGTTGCTGCGACTGCAGCAGCAGCAGCAGCAACAACAGCAACAGCAGCAGCAGCAGAAACAGCAACAACGACGCCAGCCAGTGAGGAGGACACCACCTCAGGTGGTTGCTGCAGCTGAAGGTAAACCCTAAACCCTAAACCCTCAAAACCCTAAACCCTAAACCCTAAACCCTTACCTCTACTCCTTAAACAGCTAAACATCTCTCGTTTTTTTCTGCCTTTCTTGTATCGATACAGACCCCAGCGCCACTCGCAGCAGCAGCAGCAGCAGCAGCAGCAGCAACAGCAGCAATAGCAGCAGCAGCAGCAACAGCAGCAATAACAGTAGTAATAATGGCGAGTGTAGCAGGCTATCTAGGGCTTGTGCACCAAGGGTTGTTGCTGCTAGGGTTTAGGGTTTAGGGTTTTTTGTTACTGCACTAAGAGCTGCAGCTATAGAGCAGCAAACCCTAAACCCTAAAACCCTAAACCCTAAACCCTACGGGTGCAACATTAATAAATGTTTGCCTAAAACCTACGAGCACTCAGGCTTCTAGGGTTTAGGGTTTAGGGTTTAGGGTTCAGATATAGGGTTTTGGCTATAGAGATAGGGTTTAGGGTTTAGATATAGGGTTTAGATGTTTGAGCTAGGGTTTAGGGTTTAGGCATAGATATAGGGTTTATAGTTAGTGCCAAGGCTTAGGGTTTAGAGTTAACGAAAAGGGTTTACGGCTAGGGTTTAGGGTTTAGATAGAGAGGCTAGGGTTTAGAGAGAATTGTTAGGGTTTAGGGTTTAGGGTTTAGGGTTTACGGTATTACAGTTACAAGGGCATTGCCGACGTACACGGGCGGTCTAACCAGTGGACAAGAGACGAGGGTTTAGGGTTTAGGGTTTAGGGTTTATAAGTTACAAATAAAAATATATTTTTTTTATTTAATTAAAAATAAATATTTCAATTAAAGTACAAAGACGCATATTAACGGGGCTGCTCTGCTGTCGAGCTGCTGCTGCTGCTGCTGCTGCTGCTGCAGCAGCAGCAGCAGCAGCAGGAGTGGGCAGCATCTCCTGCTGCTGCTGCTATTGCAGCAGCAGCAACAGCAGCACAATTCCTTTTTTCTTTCTCTATTTCTCCCCCCTTAAGAGACGCGATTAATAAAAAAGCGCATGCGCTGCAGCAGCTGCTGCTGCTGAGCTGCTGCAGTCTCGACATGATGCGTCGAGTGCAGCAGCAGCAGCAGCAGCAGCAGCAGTAGTAGTAGTAGCAGCAGCAGCGGCAGCAGCAGGCTTTTATACGTCGTTTGTCTTATTCTTCCCTTCAAAGTGTTATTTAGGGTTTAGGGTTTAGGGTTTAGGGTTTAGGGTTTAGTCTCTGTTGAGGAAAAGACCCTAATGCACAGGGGCCCCTAACACAGCCTAAGGGGGCCCCTGTGGGTACCGGTCCTTCTCCTGCTGCAACTGCTGCTACAGCAGCAGCTGCTGCTGCTGTTGCTAACGCCACTGAGCTCTGCGGGGGCCCCAAATGCCTTGAGGCCAAGGGGCCCCTCCAGTGTATATCCCGTTATCCTCCCAGCAGCAGCAACAGCAACAACAGCAGCAGGAGCAGCAGCAAAAGCAGCAGCAGCAACAACAGCAGCAACAACAACAGCAACAGGAGCCCGAGACCACGGCAAAGACCGGATCTGTCCTCACTGGATGTTTTTTCAGCAGCAACAGCAGCAGCAACAGCAGCAGCAACAGCAGCAGCAACAATAACATAAGCAACAACAATAGGAGCAGCAGCAGCAGCAGCAGTGTTTCCTCTTGCTTACCCCATCATCCACTTAAATATAATTCATTCTTTTCTCCTTATTACCTCCTTCCTTCCTTCCTTTTTATTCTTTTCTTCTCTTTTTCTTCTTTTCTCTTTTCCTTTTTTTTCTTCTCTTCCCTTCTATTTACTCATAAGGATGGAGAGGGGGCCCTCTATAGTCTCACAGGGGGCCCCCATAGGTTCCCCCTCCCTTGGGGGCCCCCCAGGGCCCCCCTCTGTATCGTTGTCTTCTCCAGGAGGCCCCGTGGGGCCCCCTCCTCTAGGACCCCTTAGCAGTACCCCTTTGGCTGCTTCTGTATACTCCCAATCGTTCTCTGGGGGCCCCCCTGAGGTGCCCTTATCCGGGGGGTCCCCCCCTGTAGGGCCCCCCAGGGGCCCCTCTGGGGGCACACACAGTGCAGCGGTTCGTCTGTATGATGGTAGACAGAAGTGGGCATGGAACCCATATGCAGGGGGTCTCGGTTGTAGTACCGTATTGGGGGCCCCCCCATTAAGCGGTTCCCCAGGTTACGGGGGGCCCCCCATAAATAATGGGGGCCCCCCCCTTGATGGAGAAAAGGAGATAGAGAGACTAAGAGGTATATATAAAGAAGAGGTAAAATTGTTACAATTAGAGCATGACTTATTATTATATGACCTAAAGGTATATGAGGAGACAGTAGCATTATATAATAATAATAATAATAATAATAATAATAATAATAATAATAATAATAATAAGTGTCTCCTTAATTGTCTCCCTATAGATATACAGGTATACAAAAAGGGTATAGATTTACGTATTGAGCAATTTAAGGATAATTGTACTAAGTGCGAACTTATACAAAAAAAGTTACAAAAAGAAATAGATAAGGGGCCCCCATATATTGGGGGGGGCCCCCATGGTGTGGGGGGGCCCCCATGGGGCCCCCACTCCATACCTGTATCTTCGACCCCAGAAGCTGTAGCAGCAAACTGTCTCCTTATTAAGAAGGCTAGGGACCAAAGGAGACTCATTGCTATACTACAAAGGGACCTAGACGAGCGCCTCTATGAGCAGTCCCTCATGGAGGGACACCTAAGAAAATTACGTAAGGCAGCGGACCATCTGTGTCTCCTGGGATCGAAAAAGGAGACGATCCCACGTAGTAATAGGGGGGCCCCACATAAAGGGGGGCCCATACAGGGGGCCCCAGATATACCACCCACACTTCATCAAAGAGAGGGTACTGTACCCAAATTTAATTCACAATGGCTGCAGCAAATACGATTCCCTCCTGTTGAGATACCTAGGGCCCCCACTAGGGGGCCCCCTATTCCTGCTGCTACTCTTGCTACTAAGAAGAAACAAGCAGCAGCAGCAGCAGCAGCAGATGGTGCAGCAGCAGGAGATACAGGGGATAAGCTATCTAGGAGACTCAGTGGGAGGGAGAGGAAACCAAGTGCAGCTGCAACAGCAGCAGCAGCAGAAGCACTAGGAGGAGGTCCTGCTGCTGCTGCTGCACCTGCTGCAGCAGAAGGTTTCTTCCCTCGTATGCTGCGGTCCTTTTGGTCTCCTCAAGAACCAGCAGCAGCAGCAGCAGCAAAAGCAGCAAAAGTAGCAAAAGAAGAAGACGATGCAGCAGCAGCTGCTGCTGCTCGCCGCAGCAGCAGCGCCACTGTGCTGCAGCGAGTTGTATCTGGTCCCCTTAGTCTTATTGTCCCCTCTAGTAAGGAAGGAGACAAACAAAAAGAAGAAAAAGGAGACAAAGGTCCCCTGTCTCCTCGTGTGTCTCCAAGGAAACAAACATTAAGTAGAGGAGACAGTAGGGCCTCCTTAGTAAGGGGGGCCTCCCGTACCCTCCTCTCCCCAAGGGCCTCCTTTGAGGCCCTCCTTCATCAGGGTACTCGTACCCTAATGTCCCCGAGGGGCCCCCTGGGGGCCCCCGAAGGGGGTCCCCCTCCTTCCCCTAGGGGAGTGGCCCCTCCATCCCCCCGCCTGCAAAGAAGAGACACTTCGGAGACAATTACTGCAGCAGACCATGGTCTGTCTAAACAGTTCTCTAGGGCACTGCCAGCAGCAACAGCAGCAACAGCAGCAGCAACAGCAGCAGCAGCAGCAGCAGCAGCAAAAGGGGGACTTGTTAGAAAGGAGACACGTACTCTTCTCTCTCCTAGAGATGCACTAAGGGTACAAAGATCAGGGTCCCGTACCCTACAGTCCCCTCGACAGCAACTAGGGGGCCCCCCTAGCGAGGGCCCCCAAGGGGGGGGGCCCCCTGCAAGAAGTCCTAGCAAGGCCTCTATTCTATCAAGAAAGGAGAGCGCAGCATTTCTTTCTTAACTTGCATTCCTTAATTTAATACAACTTGCTAGTCCTGCTGCTGCTGTTGCTGCTGCTGCTGCTGTTGCTGCTGCTGCTGTTGCTGCTGCTGCTGTTGCTGCTGTTAGGAAACTTCACAGATAAGGGGGCATCTGAGTGCTCTAAACCCTAAACCCTAAACCCTAGTAAAACCCTAAACCCTAGTAAAACCGTAAACCCTGAGTAATATCTTAGACTCAAACCCTAAACCCTAAACCCTAGTAAAACCCTAAACCCTAAACCCTAGCTAGGGACTAAATAAGAAGCAGATATGTTGCATCTATTAGAGACAAAAGAGAGAAAGGAGACAGTTGTAGATAAAGGAGAGAGGAGGATAAAAAGGAGACAAAAAGGATAGTGCTATTTGCTGCTTATGCAGCAGCAACAGGATCAGCAGCACCACCACTTGCTGCTGCTGCAGCTTTTGCTGCTGCTGCTGCTGCTGCTGCTGCTGCTTTTGCTTTTTTCTTGATTTTTTTACTGAATGATCTTTTGCGGCTGAATGCAGCAGCAAGGGAGTGCGGCTTTTGTTGCTGCTGCTGCTGCTGCCCTTGCTGCTGCTCTTGCTGCTGCTGCTGTCCTCTAATAGCATCAACAAGATGCTGCTGCTGCGGTAAATAAAAGGAGACAGCTAGTCCCTGTCTTCCTGCTCTTGCTGCTCTCCCTACTCTATGCAGAAAGGAGACAGCAGAGAGAGCAAAATCATACTGAATAACAGCAGCAAGATTCTCTATATGTAGTCCCCTTGCTGCTGCATCTGTACACACAAGGACTGCTCCTGCTCCTGTTGCTGCTGCTGTTGTTGCTGCTGCTGCTGCTTCTGCTTCTGTTGCTGTTGAGGGGGAAGAGGAAGAGGAGACAGCACCATCAGCAGCAAGAAAATCGTCATCCTCCTCCTCCTCCTCCTCTTGCTGCTGCTGCTGCTGCTGCTGCTGTTGCTGCTGCTGCTGCTGCAGCGGTGCTGCTGCTGCGTTACAGAACTCTTTTAATACTTTTGCTCTTGTTAAGGGAGGCAGCTGTGCAGTAAACAGAAATACTTGCCGCTGCTGCTGCTGCTGCTGCTGCTGCTGCTGCTGTTGCTGTTGCTGCTGCTGTTGCTCGTGCTGCTGCTGCAGTTGCTGTTGCAGCCCCTCTGCAACCCTTTTAGCTGTTGCTGCTGTATTACAGAAGACAAGAGTTTTGAGGCCCTTTAGGGGCCCCTCTAGTACCCTAAATAGGGTACGAATTCTGTCTCCTTCTGTCTCCTTAGCAGCAACAGGAATAAATTGCTGCTGCAGTCCCTTGCTGCTGCAGTGCAGCAAATCAGACTCAACAAAGTACATGCAAGGGAATTCATTACGTATTATTTCCTTTAGTCCTATACTTCCAGGTGTATCCGCAGGTGGGCCCCCCACGGTAGGGGGCCCCCCATTACTTTCTGTACCCTTTTTTCCCTCTTGACTCCCTTCTTTATTTATCTCTTCTTCCTTTGTCTCCTTGGAGGAGGGGCCCCCCTTGGGGGCCCCCCCTCTCTTGAGGGTATTCCTAGCTCTGGCTATACTGAAGGGGCCCTTAGCGGGGCCCCCTGGTGGTAATGTAGCAGCAGCAAAGATATATTGAGTAGGGTGCTGCTTGAGCGGCAGGAGCAGCTGTTGCTGCTGCTGTTGCTGCTGCTGCTGTTGCTGTTGCTGCTGCTGCTGGAGGAGCTGCTGCTGCAGTATTTTTTTATCTGCTGCCTTGAATTGCTGCAGTAAGGAGACAGTTAGTTGCCTAAATCCTCCATTAAGTAGCATATCTACCTCATCTATTACTACTGTCTCTATAGCAGCAAATAGGGCCCTGTCTCCTTTTCCTGCTGCTCCTGCTGCTCCTGCTGCTGCAGCAAATGCATGCGGTGTAGATATTAATATAGGGGGACAACGTACCCCCTTAGGGACCCTAGAGGAGGAGGAGGAGGGGGGCCCCACAACTGATGAGGGGGCCCCCCTCATATAGGGCCATGATGTATGGGACCCTAGCAGCAAGCCTGCTGCAGCAGGAGACAAGAAAGGAGACACAGGAGGAGACACAGAAGGAGACACAGGAGGAGACAGGGGAGGAGACAAAAAAGGAGACACCCTAAGGAGACGCCTACACCAACCTAATACCTGTAGGGCTAACTCCCTTGTTGGTGTTAATACTACTGCAACAGGATATTTTGCTGCTGCTGCTGCTGCTGCTGCACTTGCTGCTGCTGCTGCTGCTGCTGCATCTGCTGCTGCTTTCTCTCCTGCTGGATCAGGTAATTTAGATCTTCCTCTTCCTCCTCTTGTTAATGCTAAGTGTCTCTGCTGCTGCTGCTGCTGCTGCACCTGCTGCTGGTGCTGCAGCACAACTAGCCGCTGCACTAAGGATATAATATATGCTAATGTCTTGCCGCTGCCTGTCTCTGCTGCTAAGGAGACACTGTCTCCTTGCAGCAGCAGAGGGAGAGCAGCAGCCTGTATACGGCTAGCTGCCTGTACACCCCAATACTGCAGATTGTCTCTTATTGATGGTAAGACACCTAAACGTAAGAAATCCGTGCATGCAAACTCTTGCTGCTGCTGCTGCTGCTGCTGATACACCTGCTGCTGCAGCAAATCTAGATGATGCTGCAGCACATCATCAACTTCCTTCTCTTCCTGCTGCTCCTGCTGCTGCTCATGCTGCTGCTGCTGCAGCTGTTGCTTCGATGCAGCTACAGATTGGGAAACTGTACGGGAGCTGCTGCTGCTGCTTCTGCTGCTGCTGCAGCTCCTTGATAGTCTCCCCAAGGGCCCCCCTGTATAAAGGAGACAGTTAGGGTGTATTAAGAAGGAAGGGGCCCCATAGGGTCTCCTTATTTGTGTCTCCTTATGCGTAAGGAGACAGTTCGTTAAAAGGAGACACCTCAGCAGCAGCAGCAGCAGCAGCAGCAGCAAGCAGTGTACCCTCCACAAAGAAAAAAGCCTTCGGGGGCCCCATAAGGGCCCCCTAATACACGTTGCTGCTGTACCCTTCATACCTAGGGGCCCTTCCTACTAATAGACACCTAGAGAGAGGGGGGCCCCCCTCACCAGCTAGGGGCCCCCAGGAGACAAAAAGAATAAATAATAAATTTCTTCATTTTATTTGCTGCAGCAACAAATCATAATAATAAACTGAAAAGGGTTGTGGGGGCCCCCCACCATGAAGGGGGGCCCCCCTATAGAGGAGGGGGCCCCCAGCTCGTGCTCTGGGCCCCCAGGGAGGGAAGGGGGCCCCTAGGGACCTCATCGGGGATGTTAGGGTTTAGTTAGTTTTTACGTCTTTGTTTGTTTTATTTTATTTATATTTTATTTTTAATTAAATAATTAAATAAAAAAAGAGACAAAAAGGAGACAAAAAGGAGACAAAAAGAGACAAAATAGCACGAGGAGACACTTAGATAGGAAAAGGGACACATAAAAAATATATAAAAGGAGACAGACTACTAAGGGGGCCCTCGCTAATTGGGACCTAACTGTCTCCTACCCTATAGGGTACAGTAACAACGTAGGGGCCCCCCTGGGGCCCCTTCTGGGGGCCCCCAGAGGAAGTGTCTTAGGGGCCCCTATATTAACTTAATTGTTTATGGTGTGTCTCTAAGGGCCTCAAAGGGAGACAGCAATAAATAATCTAAACCCTAAACCCTAAACCCTAAACCCTCAGGGTTTGCGTATATATAGGGGCCCCAAGGGGGCCCCATCCAGTGCTTTATAGGGGGGCCCCCAAGGAGTTTATTGGTGTCTCCTTTAGAGACAATAAAAAAGGGACAAAGGAGACAGCAACTGTGCAACAGCGTATCGCTGCTGCTGCACCTGCTGCTGTTGCTACTGCTATTGCTGCTACTACTGCTGCAGCAGCTGCTACTCCTACTATTGCTGCAGCTGCTGCAGCTATTGCTGCTGCTGCTGCTGCTGCTACTGCTGCTAAGTTTTACATAATATGATTAAGTGTTTTATTAGTAGTATTTGGTGCTGCTGCTGCTGCTGCAGATACACCGCGTAGTCTAGAGAGGCGATTCTTTATAAATATTTCTTTGCTGCTGCTGCTGCTGCTGCTGCTGCTGCTGCTGTCTCCTAATGCCTCCCATTCGTTTACTGTCAGCAGCAGCACCTTCCACCTGCAGCAAACCAGCAGCAAACCCTAAACCCTAAACCCTAAACACGAGGAGGAAGAGGGAGACAGAGAGCAAAAAGGATAGATACAGCAACAGCAACAGCAGCAGCAGCAGCAGCAGCAGACGTACCCTAATGCCTGCAGCAGCACATGCCTCAGGGCCCTCCAAGGGACTAAATCTCCCGTCAATCCACCCGATGAATCGCGGAAAAAATCAGAGGCCCCACAGACCTGCAGCAGCAGCAGCAGCAACAGCAGCAACAGCAGCAGCAGCATGAGAACCCTCTGCAGCAGCAACAACACAGATATTATCCTCTTAATCTGCAGCAGCTGAAGGTACACCCCTCACCTCTAACGCGATACCCCTGGGATCGTCTCCGGTTCTCCTGGGATCGTCTCCGATCCCCTGGGGATCGTCTCCAATAACAACGGGGATCGTGTATGGCCCCACAGTAACAGGTCCCCTAATAGTAAGAGGTGTCTCCTTATAGGCATAAAGGGAACGAATTGTCCCTACTACTTGTGCATGCACTGCTGCCTTCTTGCTTGTCTTCTTTGCCAATGCATGCAGCAGATCGTGGCCCTCTAGCTGCTGCTGCTGCTGCTGTTGCTGCTGCTGCTGCTTCAGTTGCTGCTGCAGCATGGACCACACCTCCTGCGCTGCAGGAGAAAGAGTTGTCTCCTCTATGTGCAGAAGATGCTGCAAGCAGCAGGTCATTATCCGTAGCACCTCCCTACCCTTGCTGCTGCTGCTGCTGCTGCTGCTGTTGCTGTTGCTGCTGCTGCTGCTGCTGGGGGCAAGATAATAACCTAAGTGAGGCTTGAAGAGAGGGAGAAGGCAGCAAGCAGCAATCTGCTGCTGCCTTCTTGCTGCTGGATCGCAGCACCAGAGAGACAATGCAGCAGCTAGCTGCAGCAGGTGCTGCAGCTGTTGCTGCAGCTTCCGCTGCTCTTGCTGCTGCCCCTGCTGTTGCTGCTGCTCCTCCTGGTACTCCAAGGAAGCAAAGAGCAGCTCCAGCACTTCGCCTGCTGCTGCTGCTACCTCAGGAGCAGCAGAGCTGCATGTACACCCCAAACGTGTAACAGCAGAAGCAGCAGCAGCTGCTGTTTCTAGGGGCAGATGCCGTAGTACAGAGCTTGCTGCTGGTTCTGCTGCTGCTGCAGTCCGTGCAGCTGGTGCTCCTGCTGCTGCAGAAGGGGCCCCTCCCTGCAGCACAAGAGACATACGCTGCAGCAACTGCAGCAGCAGGTCTTCTTCCCTATACTGTGCTGCACCCCACAGCAGCAGCACCCGAGTAAGTGTTGCTGCTGCAGCAATACCTCCATCTTGTGGGGCAAGTGCATGCAGCTGCTGCAGCAGATGGGGAGCTGTCTGCTGCAGCAGCCGCACACTTTGCTGCTGGAATACTACCCTAGATCGCGGTTGCTGCTGCTCCTGCTGCTGCTCTTCCTGCTGCTCTTGATGCTGCTCTTGCTGCTGCTGCTGCTGCTGTGGCTGCAACTCTGCGCATGTCTCTTGTTGCATTGAGTGCTGCAGCTGCAGCAGCAGCAACGGAGACACGTGCTGCAGCTGCCGCATGCGTGGGGCGAGCTGCACATACACCTCAAGTGCATCAAGAGCAGCAAAAGGGCAGCAGAGCTGCTGCTTCCATTGGAGGTGGTAAGACACCTGACGCAGCAGCAGTGCTGCTGCATTAACTGCAGCAGCAGCAGCAGTAGCAGCAGTATCAGTAGCAGCAGCATCATCATCAATATCCACAGCAACAGGGGCTATATCTGCTGTTGTTTGTGCTGCTGCTGCTGCTGCTCGTGCTGCTGCTGCTGCTGCATGCGGGTGATCCAGCAGACACCGCAGCAAACGGGTAATCTCTTGTACGCTGTATGAATAACAGCGGGTATAGAAACCCTGCAGCAGCTGCTGCAGCAGCAGCACCTGCTGCTGCTGCTGCTGCTCCTGCTGCTCAGGAGACAGCAGCCCCCCAGGCATAGGAGGGGCAAAACAATCAAGCAGCAAAAGTGACTGCGAGGGGGAAAATGCTGCAGCAAAAAAACACAGACACTCCTTCTCTGCTGCAGCTGTTGCTGTTGCTGCTGCTGTTGCTGCTGCTGCTGCTGCTGCTGCTGCTGTTGCTGCTGCTGCTGCCGCACCGGGGAGTGGATCCAGCAGCTGAACGAAAACACTCACCTGTTTGCTGCTGCAGCAAGAGAGAACCCAAGGAAGACAGCAAGGCAGTCCTAGCGTTCTGCACCAGTGTGCTGCTGCTGTTGCTGTGCCTGCTGCTGCTGCTGCTGCTGTAGGAGCTGCTGCTGCTGCTGCTGCTGCCGAGACGGAGCAGAGCTCTGCAGAGGGCGAATGTGTCTTTGCTGCTGAGAAGAGACAGCTGCTGCTCACACCGCACGAGCAGCAGCGGCAGCAAAGGCAACCTAGTTGCAGCAGAACCAGTAGCAGCAAGAGGAGCAGCAGCAGCAACAGGTGCAGCAGCAGCAGCAGCAGTAAGGCTATGAGGCAAGAGTCCTCCCCCAACAAGAGCAGCAAGACCCCTAACAATGCAGCTGCCACTAAGAGTAGGATCGTCAGGGGGCGGCAGATTCCTTAGCTGCTGCAGCAGCTGCTGCAGCTGCTGCTGTTGCAGCAGCAGCTGTAGGTGCTGCTGCTCCTGGCTAGTAGGAGGACCCAGTAAGGAGACAAGGAGACCCTCAATAAGAGACAGCAAACCCTCATGGGAGGCCCCTCCTTGGGGGAGAAGAGACAGAAGAGACACCCAGAGGGACATTAGTTGCTGCAGCAGCAACGACAACAGCAGCAGCAACAGCAGCAGCAGCAGCAGCAAATGAGCAAAGAACAGGTCTGCTGGCGTCCAACTCTAGACCCTACACCCTAGTCCCCAAACCCTAAACCCTAAACCCTAAACCCTAAACCCTTACCTGGGCTGTCCATCCGAAGTTGGATGGTCTCCAAGGTCGGGTGTCTCCTCTATCTACTGCCTCTAGCAGCAAACGATCTGCTGCTGCAGCATCTTCTTCTTGCTGCTGCTGCTGTCTCTGCTGTTTCTGCTGCTGCTGCTGCTTCTGCTCGTGTATCTGATCCTGCTGGTGCTCGTGCTGCTGCAGCTGCTCCTGTTGCTGCTGCTGTTGCTGTTGCTGTTGCTGTTGCTGCAGGCAACGAGCAAAGTGTAGAGTCAGCTGCTGCGCGATTTGCTGCAGCAGCAGCTGTGCTGCTGCATGCAGTGGCTGCGGGGCGCAGCAGCAAAGTCTATGT